ATACGTTTAGTACGCTGTCCCTGTGAAGTTACTGTTATTTAACCTTAATATGTCAACAAACAAATCAAACTAGTATGTGCTATTTCTTCTTATGGGTCAAAATTCTACGGAGACGACCTTGAACTCTTTGTTATGGTCATGTTACATATGTATCAATTGGTCAAAATTAGTATAGCCCCCAGTGAGGTTAAAAAAGAAACTTGTTTCAAATATTAAACCTTTCGTGTGACGAGTAATCGTATATCATTAGACGGTTTGAAAAAATTTTGAAAACCAAAATGTAAGCAGAAATATTGGCTAAGTAAGGGAACTTTAAACAGAACATTGCGTACGGCTTTGCGTGAAATGTAACTTTGGGACGGTGGAAAGATTGCGTGACGGAGAAAGAGGTGATAAGCAACCTTTTTTCCAGGGAAATAACTTTCGTATCGGACCGAAAAGGTAACTGGTTGTAGACTTCACGCAGGATGTGAAGATAGAGGAAATGAAAAATATATATATTATTGACTTCCGGGGTAATATAGGTCTTATTATACTTTGTATACTGAGTGAAAAATATTGTTTAAAAACTGGTTGTTACGTTGTATTGGAATTCGGTACCAATAGAAAGAAAGAAAGATCCTCGGATCAATGTCAGTATCTTAAACAACTGCGCACCTACCCCTCCCATAATTAACCCTTACCTGTCATCAGGTGACTGTTGTTGAATCAGGGGAGGGGTAGATGCGCAGTTTCTCAGATACTGACATTGATCCGAGATTCTCATAGTTAAGGTTGTTTAAAGAGCATGTAAAAGGACAATTAATGAACCTTAAAGAGTTTTTGTGGATCTCGGAATATTCTCTTGTCACGTAATCTTTCTTTTCTTGCTGGGAACAAAAGTTTGTAAATAGATCAGGTTAGCTTTTTAGACGGTTAACCGTATTCTTTATTTCATAAAGCACCATTGACCCGAAGTGGTTTTATTTATAATGAAAAGCATTATACTGTGTAATGGGTAATTCTTATTGTTTCTCACGAGTTTGAAATGCACCAGACAAGCTCTGTAGAACGAGCAATTCTTTAGGAAGTGATCCCCACGTCAGAACTGAAAGGAACCACACAGTTGCCTTCAAAATATAGGATGGTTGCTCTAAATATGAGATGAAGCTTGCATTAGAAACCCAGAGTTAACAAGTAATTTCTGGTGGTCTTAAATCACAAGTATGCTTGTAATATTTTCACGATGTTGTGATGTGATTTTTTTAGTACAATTTGCTATTAAAGTACCTTTTGTAACATTTTGTGTTTCTTTTTCTAATTTGTTTATTTTATTTTTTATTTGTTTGTGCCTGGGTTTGTTTTGTGAAAGGTGATGGTTTTAAGTGCAAAGGTCTGTTGTCTGTAATGGCTTTTGTCGTGCCTTACAGGGTTACCCAATCTACCGAAGCAAGGAAGCTCACTCACTTGATTTATCTCGCCCCCTCTTCCTTCCCCCCGAGACTTCGCGATTGTCGTGCGAATATTTGGTTGAAATTTTCAAATAAGTAGGTGTACAGTTAGCTTGGTCGGTAAGCTGTCAAATGAACCCACTTGTAGAGAACGATTAACCCTTTCTTTTTTTTTTTCTTTTTTTTTTTTGGGGGGGGGGGGGTTAGCTTGTTGCGTTTGCTTGTTTGGTCTGTTACTCTTTATCCTTTTAGCATTCAACTGGCATTTCTGAAAAGTCTTCTCAGAGTCGAGTGAAGAGTTGTCTGTCTGTCGAGTATTATAACTCAACTAAAAGGGGTAAGTTTCTAAAGAAGTTGTGGTGCTGTGTCGGTGTGAGAGAGTTTAACAAGGTAATTTGGTAATATCAACTGAGTTAATAATACCGAGGGGCTAACGAAGGGCGAACGCTCGAAACTTCAGGTTTGAAACTCTTCACGGTAGCTAATTTACGTTATCAACTCAGTTGATAATATCAAATTACCCTATTATAACTCTAGTTGATTGACCAGTTGTGCCTTGATGTCATAAACATCGTCAACAATCCTTCTGGTGATTACTCTCAACCGAACAGTGAGATATTTTCTCTACG